GTATTCTAAATTATTTTGTAAGAAATATAAACCCTAACTCTATTAATTGCTTCTATATTAAATTTATGAATTTATTTTTCTTTAAGTTTCAGGTCTTTATAGTGTACGTTTGGGCAGTCGGTTGTGTGAGGGAAAGGAGTGAACGGGAGGTGTCGTGATGACGGGAATGGAGCTTATGGATGATGAGTTGTTTATAACCCAAGGGGAGGTAACTGTGAGAATGGGATGCATTGTTGTATAAGCATAAGTATACGGGTGATCGGTGGCGAGTATAGGTTTAGTGGTAGGTGTGTAGGGCTACTTGCGTAGGGCGACACCTTCTGTTGTGCAGGGATGGTGGCTCGCGGGCCGTATGTGTGAAGTTGTAGGTGGAGTGAGGTTTAGATGATACAGTGGGGACATTGGGCACTCAGTGGTGTGTGTATGTATAGGTATTTAGGTGTGGGAGGCCTCTTGGCCGGTGTTTGTGGATTCTGGTATACTGGTATAGAAATCAGTGGCACGCTGTGTGTGCGTGTGTGTGAGTTGTGTGTAAGGCCTTTGTCCAATGCTTGCAAACATGAATGTTCTAATATGATGAGTAGTGGCATGTTGTATTTATGGCCACTCAATGGTCGATATGGCACTCCCCCGGTCAAGTGTGTGGGACGTCATTTGGCTTACGTTGGTGGAGTTTGGTGGGGCCAATCAGTGGTAGTTATCGCGGGAATAACAGTGTGTATTTGACGTTGTGGTGCAGTAGTGCACGGGGCCATATAACGATCGATATAAGGATTGTGTTTGCTGTTGGGGCAGGGCCTCAGGAGGCAGCGAGGGTGTGCGTGTGTGGTCTTGATAGACCAGTGTTTGTTGAAAGGGTATATGGGAGTGGTATAGGGACCTATCGAAATGGTATCGAGTTGGTAAAGTGCTGTGGTTAAAACAAAAGGGGTAGAGTGCGGGTCCGTTATGTAGTTGGGAGAACGAAGAGCTAATGTTAAGGAGTTAGGTGGGATTAGGAGGGAGTAGCGTTGTTATTTAATAATTATCAAGGGAGGAAAATCAAATGATAAAAATAAGGGAAATGATAGTAAGGAGGGAGGTCATTTAATTGTCATTCATTAGTTTTAGTTTCAATTTTCATCTTATTGGGTTATGCATACTCATTACTCTCATTTCATATGCTTTGATGTGGGAACCAAAAATGGGGAGCTTAGCAATGGAGCACCATACTTCAGAGTAGCAAGATGTTATCAATCATGATACAACATAGTAGTACCTTACAGTATTAGAATAGTGTTGAAACTTCTATGTGTAGGGTGATAGTTGAATAATTTTTTAATTATGAAGTTATTCATTGTACGGTAACGAAATTCTTTTTGAACTAATGGATATGTGTGATTTTGTTGGAGAATTATAAATATCTTATTTAAAAGTGAAAGAATTAATAGTGTATAATCCTATAGTAGAAATCGTTTAGGGGTGTCACAATAGCTATTATATGACAATCATCACTGTACATTAAATAATTATGTATAATTACACAATTTGCAAACTATAATAGTCCAAAACTATATTTAGCCTTTGTCGTATGGTCAAAATGCTTAAAATAACTTCAACCCTAAATGATAAGTTACTACGATATTTAATGAGTTTGTCTCTCATTTCCCTTCTTTAGGCATCCAAAAAATACACTGTCAATATTATAGGTTTAGTTTTAGTTAAACTAACTAATTTATCACACATTAACTCACTCATAATAAGTTTAAACGCATATTGTATTTTGATCATACGACAAGGATTAATTCTTGTATTTTGACTATAAACATTTTTTTTTACCTCATTTCTCATATTTTATTGACTTAAAGCTTAAACGATATATTTTACTTTGTATTTCACACGTTTCCTTACCATGCAAGTATTTGAAAATGAAAATGATTCAAGGTCCTCAAAATGATATAAAGTGTGTATTTATTTATAGAAATATGTAAAATATGTGTTATATAAAATTATCAAATACAAATAAAGTATTTTCTAATTATCAATCTTTGTCATTATCTTCGTCGCTATTTTTTTTTTATTGTTAACTAATTTTTGTAGTTTTATAAATAAAACATCTAAAAAATTAAAAATAGAAGTTAAAAAATATTTTTACGTATCAAGCATATTAATTATATATACCGTAAAAATTAACTCAAAATACTCTTACTTTTAAGTAAATAAGCAATTCCAATTTACTAATGCAAGTTCGTTAATTCCTATAAATAAAATTTGGAGAGTCTTTATCTAATTTTTTTTAACATAATTGTAAAATTTAAACATATATAATAATTATTATTCCAAGCTTAAATGTACATAATGATTAAATTACAATGTCATCGAGAAAAAGGTATTCAAAAGAGCACCATTCAAGTCTAATTTATACAAGACTAACTCGAGCATTTTAAATTTGATCATGTAATTACATCGAATTTTATATAAGAAGAACCTTCTATAATAATAAATGAAGTATAAGATATTTTTCTTGATGCATACTTTACAAGCTAGCTACTATATATATATATATATACATAAAACTCTCAAATCTCGATAAAAATATTAATTAGAGATAAATTCTTACGCTACGTTTGGAAACAAATTTCTATTATAAAATTTATTTAAGATTCATATTAATCTTAATTACGAACTTAAGCAATTTTTATATATTATAATTAAAATAAAGATAATACAACTAAATCTTAGCAATAATAAAGAAGTAATCATCCATCGCATTGTGTCGCATGCCACTTGAAATCAGCAAACCTGGACCAATCAGCGTCGGCCACGTAGTTACGTACTCATTTCAGCAAGAAATTAAAAATTAGCCGGCCGCGGACGAGTTATGACGAGAAATAGCATTTGAGAGAAGTGCCACGTGGCACTGGATACGACATTTAC